AGTGGGGGTGGGGGTGGGGGTGGTCCGAGGTCCGAGGCTCCCCCGCTACTTTACAAATTTGACCCGGGTTGTTCCAGGAGCCACTTTACAAGTGTGACCCGTGTTGCTCCGGATTCACCCTTTTCCAAAGGGTGGTGAGTTCGCGCACCACTTCCACCAGAGTCACCCTGGACACTTGCTAAAATGCCGATCCCTGCAACTCCGCTAGAAGGAAGGGCCTGGCCATCTGTGTACTGAACACTACCCGCGAGACTGCAGGGCTTCCCGGGGGGTTCTCCCTAGTGGCCAAGTTTGGGACCTGTGGTCTCTTTGCTGAGGCACTACTCTAGGACCGAAATGGCTCCCCAGGGTTGAGGCCACGTGCTCTGCCGCCAGGGAAGGCCAGGCGTGGATATTGAGGGAGGTGGAGCCCCAGGTGGTGTGGCCCAGGCTGGTGAATACCAGGGGCTACGGAAGCCAGGTTGGGGGATGGTTGCTGCACAAGTATCACCCCCTCTTTCTCTCCCACCTCAACTCTCAAATACAGGGAGGATGGGCCAGTTGGTGGGTTGCAGCTAGCAGGACCCCCTGAGTGTTGGTCTCCTCTTTAGGGCCACCTGGGGCCCCTAGCCATAAAACATTAAAGAAATTTCTGGAGCTCAGTATATTTTAGGGACTTGTTTTGCTAGATTTTCTCGTTGAGTTTTCAGTCTCCTGAGTTAAGTGGCCTGATGGTTCCTGTGTGGGATGAGGACACAGGCTGGGAAAGGGAACAGTTCCAGCAAGTGGTGGGGCTGGGACTTTAACCCTGATCCCAGGGCCCTGCTCTTAGCCACCGCCCCCCAGGGAAAAACCCACAGAACACTGCTAGTTGCTCAGAGGAGGGCTGGGCAGTGGAGGGGAGGGGTTGGGCTGCCCCAGATGCTAGAGAGGACATTGCCAGGCCTCATCCTGGGCAGGCTTGGAGCAGTGGATCCTGGCTACACACTGTCCCTAGCCTCCCTTTAGAGGAGTCCATCTGTTCCCCCAGGGGCCAAGTGCTCAAGGTGGCAGGACTCCCCCC